ACACATGTGGGCGTGAACTTCAGGAGATTCCAGCTCCCACCTTCAGATCTTCCAGCTGAGTTCCCAGCTCGATAAGCCAGCCTCACTGTGTCCACAGAGTCCATGGCCTAATAAATGGTTCTCTAAGTCACTGTTTTGAGGTGGCTTGTTACACAGCTAGTTACTTGAACAGAGTGTATAAAGGCAAATCTAACACAGCTTAGCAGGTTGGAAAAATCTCTCCCTAAGAAAGTAAAATTTAAGCCAAACATGCAAAATGGATCATAAACCAAAATGTAGAAGCTAAAACTATAAATGTCCAGGAGAAAACATACAAGAATATCCTTGCAACCTTCGAGTGAGCAAAGATTTCTTTGGATCTAAAAAAGCATGACCCATAAAAGACAAAAGTGGGTGAATTCAATAACATTAAAATTTTAAATATATGCTCTGTGAAGAGTGTTAAAATGGGTCACAATCTGGGAGAAAATATTTGTCATACATATGAGAAAGGACTTATATCTGGAGTATAAAAAGAACTCTTACAATTTAACAAAAATACAAATAACTAATTTTTTTTCTAAAAAGTAAAGGGTCTAAAGTGTTTAATAGATAATTCCCCAAAGAAGATATGCAGATGCAAATAAGCACCATTTGTCAACAGAGCCATCCAAATTAAAGCCAAGGTGAAAGCTACTTCACACCCACTAGAATGGCAAATATTGAAAAGACAGACAATGCAAGTGTTGACAAGGAGGTGGAGCAACTGTATCTCCTGTGTGTACACAACTGGGAGAAGTCAAGAAGCAAAACAAGGTGCAAAAAGCTTTGCTGGATTCAGTTCTTCTATTTTAAGCTTATTTCATGAGTTGTACCTAGTCAACAGGAGAGATTTGTAGACTTGGTATAACAAAGTTGACCAATATATGTTCTTTTTTCTTCTTTTTCAGTTAAAAGAGATGTTTCCAGGCTTTCGATTAGCACTTCCACCAAAACGCTGGTTTAAAGATAATTATAATGCCGACTTTTTAGAAGATAGAAAGTTAGGATTGCAAGCATTTCTTCAAAATTTAGTAGCTCATAAGGACATTGCGCACTGGTATGTAACAAACTGAAATAAAAGGTTATAAATGCATTTCAACAACTAGTTAAAACCGAAGAATAAGTCTAGGACCATAGTTACGCAAGGGAACAAAATCTATAAAACAAACATAATTACTTGTCCATTAACAAACACTCCCTGGAATTTTCTTACTTTTTTTCAGTAAGGACCATTTGGTGTTTGATTTGTATTAACACTTTTACAAAGTCAGCAAAGTTAAAAATTCAGCGTATCATCTATTCAGACCACTCAACTGTTAACTTGATTTTTAGTTTTTAGTGTTTTAGCAATCATTTAAACAAAGTGGCCTTCACATTTTTGGCTAATATGACACTATACAACGGGTCCTCAAACAACGGCCCGCGGGCCACATGCAAATACAAATATTGTATTTGTTCCCGTTTTGTTTTTTTTACTTCAAAATAAGATATGTGCAGTGTGCATAGGAATTTGTTCATAGTTTTTTTTTGTTTTTGTTTTTTTTTAAAATATATTTTATTGATTTTCCACAGAGAGGAAGGGAGAGAGATAGAGAGTTAGAAACATCAATCTGCTGCCTCCTGCACATCCCCCACTGGGGATGTGCCCGCAACCCAGGCACATGCCCTTGACCGGAATCGAACCTAGGACCCTTCAGTCCGCAGGCCGACGCTCTATCCACTGAGCCAAACCGGTTTCGGCCATAGTTTTTTTTTTAAACTATAGTCCGGCCCTCCAACGGTCTGAGGGACAGTGAACTGGCCCTCTGTTTAAAAAGTTTGAGGATCCCTGCTATATAATTTTGAGGGTAATATATTTTATGTTTTTTCAATGTAATGTAAAAGTACTTATCCCTTCCTTTATGTTTTAAATTCCACTCAACTCTGCCTGCTGCCCCATCCCTCCATCAGCCCGAGTTATTGATGAGTGTTACCTCCCCTTGCTTACTGTGGAACTTTGTTCTGGCCTCCCTCACCCACTCGGACTCCGTGCCGTTGGCAACACAGTGATCTTGTCTAATGCACTTTACCTCATCCTGCTCCTTGCCTCCCTGCCTGTCTTTCTGACTTCGTGTTTCGTTGTCATCCTCTGTCCGTCAGCACAGTCACCTTGCTCCATTGTCCCTGAGGGCCTCCCTGGAGAGGCAATGTCTCACACTCCTGCCATCCAGCCCCGGCCTAGACAACGCCTAGACATCCTTCAGCGCCCAGTGAAAACTCCACCTCCTCCGGGCCTGGCTTTCCTGACCCCCTGTGGGGCTTCATGCCACGCCAAGATCTGGCTGTGCTCCCTCTAGCTGGAGGAGGCGGGCCGGGTTTCAGCTGGGTTTGAAGTAGCATTGGGGTTTGAAGTACTGCCCTGAATTAGAAGGAATAAGGCTGAGCGTCCGGCACTCATGGGCTAAGAGTAACGGTAAGATCAAGGTCTGAACTAGGCCCCCACGGGAAGCCAAACGTGAGCTCCACACCCACAGCCAGCTCCACACTGTGACCCCCGCTGTCACCAGCTCGATCCCCAATCCCGATGCCTACCCTCAGGGTGGCATTTAATGTCATTTTTTAAAAATATTTTTTTTAATTGGTGGAGAATAATGGGAAATGCTAACTGATATTTCTGTCTGAAATCCCTCAATAATACTTTCATGCAGTGACCTTTGGTACCTAATCTTGTTTTGACAGAGTTAGTATCTAATATTTTTAGTACATTTTTCTACCTAATTTTTAATTGACCTCTTAATGAATTGTCAGCATTAGCTTTAGGAGTGTATTTTCCTTTTAAAGTATAATATTTAAGATAAAGAGCACATTTAGCTATTAAATGACTGGTCTTTTTTATAAATGTGAAATGTAAACTGATTCATACCTATGAAAGAAAAAAGGAAAATAAAGCAGTAAATAGAAGGAGAGGGTTCACTGGGTGGAGCAGTTTTTTAAGAAGTTTGAAAGTACAGTAAAACTTTTTTAAGAGGATCAAAGGAAGAGTTTAAGGCACATTTGCCGGGATGATAAAGACAGGCGGAAGGAGGCCACCTGTGGCTCCTCTAGGCCAGGTGAGGCAGCACTGGTCCTGATTTATCTCCGGTTTCCTAGTCCTAGGATGGTTCTCGGTCAGCGGTCGCCAACCTTTCGGAACTCACCACCCACCGGTTGGTGACCGCTGCTGTAGGTAACAAAAAGGGACTGGATATTGCTGAGCTTGCCTCACCTTTAGTTCCAGGTGTGGGGTATTCCCTCAGTCAGGCACTTCCTCTCCTGTCCTGGTGCTTTACTTACTTCATCATCAGATCCAACAGAAGCACAGTGTAAAGCAGTGGTTCTCAACCTTCTGGCCCTTTAAATAGTTCCTCATGTTGTGACCCAACCATAACATTATTCTCGTTGCTACTTCATAACTGTAATGTTGCTACTGTTATGAATCGTCATGTAAATATCTGATATGCAGGATGGTCTTAGGCGACCCCTGTGAAAGGGTCGTTTGACCGCCGAAGGGGTCGCGGCCCACAGGTTGAGAACCGCTGGTGTAAAGGATTGAATACAGAAGAGAGATTAGGGATGGAGTTGAACCTGTCAGTGCAAAATTTTTTTTTAAAGTATAAGACCTTTTTTTTAATGACTTATAGTAAAAATAAATAAAATGACTTCTGTTTAAGCCATAGACTCTATGACAGTGATGGCGAACCTATGACACGCGTGTCAGAGGTGACACGCGAACTCATTTTTTTGGTTGATTTTTCTTTGTTAAATGGCATTTAAATATATAAAATAAATATCAAAAATATAAATCTTCGTTTTACTATGGTTGCAAATATAAAAAAAAATTCTATATGTGACACGGCACCAGAGTTAAGTTAGGGTTTTTCAAAATGCTGACACGCCGAGCTCAAAAGGCTCGCCATCACTGCTCTATGATAACATAGACGCTGGTATATTTGATTTGAACTCACTTCACTTATTTATAAAGCACACGTTGATACCATATGGGAAGTCACTGAGCAGAACCGGGCATGTGGCAGTCAGACGCCTGTCAGGTCTAAAGCTTCTCCAGTCAGCACACAGGCGAGGGCTCCTTCTCCAGGGAGAAGGCATCGGGACTCTGAGGAGGAGCTCGTTCCCCCAGCACGGTCTCCGGGAGCGCCTGTCCCTCTGCTTGGCAGGCCCAGCTGGGAGTACGACGCGCCTCTCCCAGGCCTTTGAAGCAGAAGGAATATATATGAGCCGCTGAAAAGTGTTCTGCAAGTCAGAGTTGCAAAACCAGTTTAAATTTCATCCTTAATGCTGCAGGTTAAAGAAAGCAGGGCATGGAATCGAACTCAGAACTAGACTGGAAAAAACTTAGCCCATAGCCTGGCCGGGTGGCTCAGTTGTTTGGGGTGTTTTGTTCTCTTTGTCTCTCTCTCTCTCTCTCTCTCCCCCCCCCCCCTCCTTTTCTCTCTTTCCTTCCTTTCTCTCTCTAAAATATCAATAAACATATCCTCGGATGATGTTTAAAAAAAAAAAACTTAGGGAGTCCGTTGGGTTCCATCTGAGTGGAGCTCTGCTGAGCCCTGGGTCATGAGGATTTTTAGGAAGGAGAATGAAATGGAAAAGCCTCTCCAAAAACAGACTCCGATAGCCAGGTCCCTGTTGGCATCACTGCTGACTGTGGCTGAATTGCTACTATAAACTAAAGGTATAAAAAGAGGCATGAGTTCCCTTACTCACATTTTCTTTTCCAGCAGCAGCTTTCCAGTGATCAGAGTAATTTGTGAACATAAAACTGTTACTAAAGGATGAGGGCATCCAGGGTCTAAGCCAGGGGTGGGCAAACTTTTTGACTCGAGGGCCACAATGGGTTCTTAAACTGGACCGGAGGGCCGGAACAAAAGCATGGATGGAGTGTTTGTGTGAACTAATATAAATTCAAAGTAAACATCATTACATAAAAGGGTACGGTCTTTTTTTTTTTTTTTTTTTAGTTTTATTCATTTCAAACGGGCCGGACCCGGCCCGCGGGCCGTAGTTTGCCCACGGCTGGTCTAAGCCCATGAAAAAATAATGTCTCATGTTAGGTTGTCAAACACGGAAAGTATTAAAAAGGCCCTTCCCCACACTGCTCAGCACTTTGCTTTTTTCAGTCTTAAAAGCCATTATCTCACTGTTTCATCCAAACTTTTGACTTCTCAATCTCAAGATAATTTGTTTCCTGTAGCTCATTTCTGCCTAATAGATGGTTTTCCGATATAAATAATGGGTAGGTGCAGCCGAAACCGGTTTGGCTCAGTGGATAGAGCGTCGGCCTGCGGACCGAAAGGTCCCGGGTTCGATTCCGGTCAAGGGCATGTACCTGGGTTGCGGGCACATCCCCAGTGGGAGATGTGCAGGAGGCAGCTGATCGATGTTTCTCTCTCATCGATGTTTCTGACTATCTATCTCTCTCCCTTCCTCTCTGTAAAAAAATCAATAAAATATATTTAATTAAATAAATAAATAAATAAATAAATAAATAAATAATGGGTAGGTGGGAAGTATACCTAAACCAAAAGAACAAAGGTGGTCCCCTTCTCTGTGCTATCAGATCACCAGCAGTGTTCCAGAAACCTCGATCAGCGAGTGGCACAGGCAGGTTGAGTGTGGTGAGGGAGGTGCCTGGCAAGGGGAGAGAATCCAGATGAACCATAATAGAAGGGAAGAGAATTGAAAGGTAGAAAAAGGCACATGTTTATACTTGGAGGAGATTTAAGAGCTGCCTCTACCAGGCTGTGCTGTGTGACCTTGAGGAGTCATTTTACCTCTCTGGACTTTGGTGTCGTTTGTAAAATTGGAAATAGTGCCCATCCTCACTGTACATGATTGTTGTGAAAATTAAATAAAATTGAATATGTTGCCCTGTGTGTACAACATACTTTGAAAATGTGAGATAATGTAAATGTTAATTAGCTTGATTGCTGTTCACAGCATATGCATATATCAAATCAAGCTGTACATGTTAAATGTGTGCATTTGTAATTATTCCTCAGTAAGTCTGGAAAAAATGTTGGCTTCATGAATGCAGAGACCCTGTAAGCTTTAAGTAGTCAATTAAGTTTGTGATATGAAAAGGAAAGGAAATGTTGGTGTATCAGTAGTGCTTCGTGGAGAAGACGTGAGGCTAGAGGAAATACAACATTGTTGACATATTTTAGGGTTATCGTATGAAGAAGGACTTAGATTTATCTTGAATGGTTCCAAAAAGCAGAACTGACTCATGAATAGAAGCCGCCAGGAGGAAAGTCCCGGCTCAGGGAAGGGATAAGTTTCAGCGGTTCAAACATAGGACGGAATAGTCCCCATTTCGGGAGGTGCTTCTTGGCCGAACACGTTAAAGGGATAAAAAGCAAGCCATGGATGTTTAAAGCTCCACCACATTAGGATCCCTTCCGCCTCTATTCTTCCCTGGGGATGGGTACTCCAGTTTCCTCTGTGTCCTTGACTGTGTGTGTGTTTTATTACTTACATTGTCAAGATTTTACAGCCCAGAAATGTGCTCTTCTTTCCGATCTTGTGGATTGCTTTCTTGACACTGCTCCTCTATATTAATTCAGGTTATTTTTCTTTGGGAACATTTCACTAAAAATTCCATTTTTCTCTTCATGGCCATCCCCTGTCGTCATCAACCTATCTGGCCTGAACTGGACTCAAAGTCCCCATTCCCTTTTCAGCAAAGGTCAGCGTCTCCTTTATAAAGTGCATTAGAAATTACATTCCTGATCCTTATGCCTTAAAAGGTAAATATCCACATTTATGATTTAACATGCACAGAGTTGTGTCTGTCCAAAGTTTCTTTTAGAGAGTGGACTATTTTTGTTAAAAGGGAGCTTAATTTCCTAAACTCTTACCCTATTTCTGATAATTCCAGAGCTTAAACATAATACCATATTTCATTATTTCAGAAGTTATGGTAATTCAGCAATGGCATGGTCAGAATTTTCCCCTTGAACTCTTTAAGAAAAAATATTTTAAGTAAAGTAGTACAACAAAAAAGATTGCAAGAAAATTCTTAACTTTTTTCAGAGTAAATACTTTAGATGTTACTTTAGATGTATCTCCTGAAAAAGAAACAAATGGAGTATAAGTTAGAAATAGTATTTCTCCATAGCAGGATAGTGCCATTTTTAGACTACTTCAAGCTGGCATTCCTTTGAAAAGATATCATCTCTTATCTATTCACCACTTAGACTGGTCCCTTTAGTGTTATTCCGAATTATGTTTTATGTCCTGTAGTTTTTAAGTAGCCTAAATTCTCCATCTCTATGTATGTTCATAAGATCTTAGAAAATAGTTTAAAAGCTCTGCATCTTCTATATATTTTGTGTTTATATTTGGTTACTTGCATGAAGCCACATAACCCAGCTCGTTTATTTTGGTATATCAGCAGCCAACTTGCTTAAAACACTGTATAGCTTTAAAGTGACTTGCTTTTTGCAGTCTTTGGTAAACTTACTTGTACCCCAGCTAATTTTCTTTTCCCTTTGAAAAGCCTGGCGGTGAGAGAGTTTCTTTGTCTGGACGATCCACCAGGTCCATTCGATAGCCTGGAAGAAAGCAGGGTGAGTGCCGTGTTATATGTCGCATGAAGAGAGGAACAATAACTCAGCACAGTAACTGCATTGTTCCTGGCATGGAATAGCAAACAGCAAAATATCATAACTGCAGACCATGGGGGTTTTGCACAGAAAGCTTTTTAGTGTTTGAGTCAGAGGTTTCTTTCAGTGAAATGCATGTACCTGGTTCAGTGAAAACATAAAACTCATAGATGTCACGTCGTCAGTGCAGCTCTAAAATTAAGTCCTGCATTATATCCTCTTTATTTGTACTATTTCAAAAAAAATTATTTGCAAATTTGTTTTACTGCATTTAAAAGTGTTATTTGTATGTTGAGTTTTCTTCCGTCTGAGTATCAAAGTCAAGAACCTACAGGTGAAATCAAAGTGAAAACTCGCTTTCAGAGGTGGAAGGTATTGTCTTCTTATCAGTTCAGCCCGGGCTGGTGCTGCTCAGATTACACTAATTGACGTGTTAACGTGGCCTATTTCTTGAAGCAATTGGCTAGATTATCCAAGCAGATTTCGTAATAATAGATTAGCTAGAATTTTTCTCTTGAGTTTTTTCCCCAAATGTTTAATGGTGCTTAAATGGAACAGATTTAATTGGTAGGTTTGTAATGTTTTCAATTAAACTGAGTCAGTTCTTTGTATTAGAGTGAATACCATGGCTTTTTAGAAACAGCTTTATTGAAGTCTTTATCCATAAAAGTTGCTATTTGCTAATCCATTGTGAATGTACAATTTAACAATTTTAGTACATTTTTAGAGCTCTGCCGTAATCCAGTTTTAGAAACTCCCGTCACCTGGAAAAATCCTACAGCCCTTGTGCGGCCCTTGCCCCCAGCCCCTGACAGCACTGATCTGCTTTCACTTGCAAATATGCCTTTTCTGGATATTTCATATAAATACAGTCACACTATATATATGTGTGTATGTGTGTGCGCCTATATAAGATCAGTATTCAGTTATATAATTTTATGTGTACAGTATTTATAACATTATATACATTCTGTATATATATAAAAACATAATATTTGCATCTAGTTTCTTTTACTTAGCATAATGTTTTTGAGGGTCATCTGCGTTATAGCCTCTATCAATATCTTAATACTGAATGGTTTTCCATTGTATACATACACCACATCTTGCTTACCCAGTCACCATTGAGGGACAGTGGGATTGTTTCCAGTCTACGCTGTTACGAACAGTCTTGTGTGGACCTGTGCTTTCATTTCTTTTGAGTTGATTCCTAGGAGAGGAATATTTGGTTATGTGGCAAATCATGTTTAACTTTTTTAGGAAACTTACAAAGTGTTTCCTAAAATGTCTGTACCATTTTACATTCCCTCCAGTAGTGTATGAAGTTGCAGTTTCCTCACAAATATTTTTTCTTTTTTTTTTTCCTAGGATTTAAAAATTAGGGTGATTTTACATTTAAAATTTACATCCCAGCTCCTCTTGGAAGATGCGTAGAGCTGTGGCCACTGGGTCTCCCTTCCCATAGGCTTCAAGTATCTCAGGATGAGCTGTCTGCCCTTTTCAACAGAGCAAGCACCCTCCAATCCCCACCACTCCCTATTGTCCTACACATGTCTGTACCAGGTGTCTGCAGAGATAGTGGGAGAGAGGCTGCAGAGAGAGGAGTGAGGCAAGGGCATGCTCTGAATGACCAGAGCATTGATGAAATAATATTATGCTATCTGTCTTTTGGATTACAGCCGTTCTCGTGGGTGTGTAGTGGCATTCAAGAGTTTTAATTTGCATTTCCCTAATGAAGTTTTTATGTTGATCACTTTTTCATGGGCTTTTTAGCCATTCATGTTTTCTTTGATGAATTGTCTGCTTAAGCCTTTTGCTCATTTTTTTTAGTTTGTCTTATTGAGTTGTAAGAGTTCTTTGTTTTGGAGACAAGTCCTTTATCAGATACATCATTTATAAATATTTTCTCCCAGTCTGTATGTGTCTTTTCATCTTATTGGTCTTTTGAAGTATTAATGTTTTTTAATATATTTTATTGATTTTTTTACAGAGAGGAAGGGAGAGGGATACAGAGTTAGAAACATCGATGAGAGAGAGAGAGAGAGAGACATCGATCAGCTGCCTCCTGCACACTCCCTCCTGGGGATGTGCCTGCAACCAAGGTACATGCCCTTGACCGGAATCGAACCTGGGACCCTTGAGTCCGCAGGCTGACTCACTCTCCACTGAGCCAAACCGGTTAGGGCAGCCGTGGGCAAACTACGGCCCGCGGGCTGGATCCGGCCCGTTTGAAATGAATAAAACTAAAAAAATAAAAAGACCGTACCCTTTTATGTAATGGCGTTTACTTTGAATGTATATGAGTTCACACAAACACTCCATCCATGCTTTTGTTCCGGCGCTCCGGTCCAGTTTAAGAACCCATTGTGGCCCTCCAGTCAAAAAGTTTGCCCACCCCTGGGTTAGGGCGAAGTGTTAATGTTTTTAATTTTAATGAAGTTCATTTTATTATTTTATGGCTTATGCTTTTTGTGTTGTATCATAAGAACTCTTTGCCTAATACAGGTTCACAAAGATTTTTTTCCTACTTTTTTTTTTGTAATATATTTTTTATTGATTAAGATATTACATATGTGTCCTTATTCTCACGTTACCCCATACCCCCCCACCCCCCCACCCCCGCCCCCGCTCATGCCCTCACACCCCCCCACCCCACCCCCCCCCCCCCCCCCCCGTTGTCTGTGTCCATTAGTTAGGCCTATATGCTTGCATATAAGTCCTTTGGTTGATCTTTCCCCCTTACCTCCACCCTCCCCTACCTTCCCTCCAAGGCCAGACAGTCCAATCAATGCCTCTCCATCTCTGGATCAGTCCTTGTTCATCAGTTTATGTTGTTCATTATATTCCACAAATGAGTGAGATCATGTGGTATTTATCCGCTCTCCAGTTCCATCCATGCTGTGGCAAATGGTAAGAGTTCCTTTTTCTTCTTCCTCTTCTTAAAGAATACCTTTCAGCATTTCATATAATGCTGGTTTGGTGGTGATGAACTCCTTTAGCTTTTTCTTATCTGTGAAGCTCTTTATCTGACCTTCAATTCTGAATGATAGCTTTGCTGGATAAAGTAATCTTGGTTGTAAGTTCTTGCTATTCATCACTTTGAATATTTCTTGCCACTCTCTTCTGGCCTGCATGGTTTCTGTTGAGAAATCAGCTGAAAGTCGTATGGGTACTCCCTTATAGGTAACTGACTTTTTTTCTCTTGCTGCTTGTAAGATTCTCTCTTTGTCTTTTGCTCTTGGCATTTTAATTATGATGTGTC